TTGGCTATTCTTTCACGGTTGTTGTTTTTATGTGAACTTTAGAATCACTTTGTCTACTTAAAAAAAATTCCTTCATGTGTGTATGTGTGTGTGTTTGAAGTGAAAAGTTTAAGAGAATGATATCTTTATAACGTTGATTCTTTCTATCCACAATCCTCCTTCCTTCTCAATTATCCTCTTTTCCACAGGGAGAGTGGCTAAAAGGGCTGTTGCATACAGTTGCATAGGTTGTATACTGTACCATCCTAGTACTAAGGCTAGGGGAGCCACTGGCAGCAGCCAACAGGATATGAGCTCTTCTCTCTGGGCTAATCTGTCCATCTTTATATATGATCAATAGTATTAATAGCCACCCCTCCTAGCACATGCCAGGTTCAGTTCTAAGCGCTATATATTTATTAATGTATTTAATCTTCAAAGCAAACATACCCCCAATTTATAGCTAAGGAAAATGAGGTACAAAGAGGTTAAGTGACTTTCCCAAAGTCACTGATTTGTGTTACCCTCCTGAGCATTCACAGCACAGAAATCCATCCCTGCACATAAACACATACACACACACACAGATATGTGCACACAGAAATAGACCACAGACACACATACTTGAACACACAGGCTTGCACACACAGATGTGCACTGACACACACATTGACATTCACAGATATGTGAACGTCCACACATGGACATACATGCAGACACACCTGCACACACACACACATGCACACACACACATACACACATACATATGCATACATGGACACATCCACACGTTCTGTTATCCCAGCAGCATCTTCCCCTCAGTCTGTCATTCTTCCTACAGCACACACCCTGTCAGCCCCCTGCCATCTCTTGCTTTCAGACGAGGCAGGTCCTGGAGGAAAATTAGCTGTCACTGCTCTGAGTCCTAGGTAGGGCGTCCCTCCCAGGATCCCTGTATCCAGAGGGCAGGGGGTCTTTCGGGAGGGGGTGACTTCACCGCAGGAGCCTGGGGAGAGGAACCTTGTAAGGACAACAGGAGGCGGAGAATGTGGGGCCCCCAACCCAGGGCCTGGTACCCAGCAGATTCTCAGGGAAAGGCCTCCCCTTTCCTCTCTTCCTCCCCAGAGTCATTATCTCCAGCAGCCTCTGGAATCAACCCATCCAAGCAAAAGTCATTCTGCTACAGGCTGGCACCCCCGGGAGCGCTTGAAGAATGAACTGGCAAACGCAGACCTGGGAGGAAATTGCCCAGTGAGCAGGTTTACAGAGGCGAGGGCGTCTGGGCGCAGTGTGTGTGTGCTCACACATATGCACATGTGTGCATGCAGACACACACACTGCCCAGCCTTTCTGACTGTTCTGGCTCTGAGTCAGCCCCACATGGAAGGGATTTAATCACCCAGGGGCTGGATCGTTATTGTTTTAAAACAAACGAGTGATGACAGCAATGAACAGAGGGTTTTTAAAAGCGCGATTCAAAGGGCTCTTGAAAGCTACTGGAGAATATGAATGCGCCTTTGAAGTAAGAATGTGCCCATTTGTTAAGCTGAGAGCAGAGCTGGCTGCTGCCAGGCGGGCAGCGGGCAGTGGGTCTTTTTCCTTGGCAAATGGGTGCCCACTAGCCTCTCCAACCTCCTCACCACCTGACCAGAGGTGGCCAAAGACCCTGGAGGCACAAGCGCCCCTGGAAGGGACCAGCAGTGGTAGTCACACCTCCAAGTCCACACTCAGGAAGAAGCATCTTCTCAACTGTTTTTAAGATGCTGCATTCACCTGACGCTTGTTAAGAGCAATGGAAAGATGTGCATGAATGAGCAGGGAGAGATGCGTGATTGAAACATTAGCAAGCCGGGCACGATGGCTCACGCCTGTAATCCCAGCAATTTGGGAGGCCAAGGCAGGTGGATCATTTGAGGTCAGGAGTTCGAGACCAGCCTGGCCAGCATGGCGAACCGCATCTCTACTAAAAATACAAAAGTTAACTGCTGGTGCATGCCTGTGATCTCAGCTACTCAGGAGGCTGAGGTAGAGGGATCACCTGAGCCCCAGAGGTTGAGGCTGCAGTGATCATGCCATTGCACTGCGGCCTGGGCGACAGAGCGAGACCCTGTCTCTAAAAAAAAAAAAAAAAAGAAAAGAAACATCAGCAGTCAGACAAACGTAGAGGGAGCAGTTGAAGGCAGCCTCCTGCCAGCACCTACACTCTGAGCCACCCTGAGGCCACCCTCAGGTTTGCCCCTCTGGTGGTCCCCACAGTAAGGGTTAGTAGCAGCCAGGCTGGGAGTTGAAGGAAAAGCCTCCCAACCCACCGCAGATTACATATTAATAAGACTGAGCCCTCGGGCCTGGGGGGTGCAAGGTGTGGGGGTGCTGTGCAGCAGGGCCAGCTGACTGGGGCCCCACATGTACATGATGGCTTCTGTTAAGTTGTGAATCTCTACCTGAACCCAATGAGGCCTGGAAACAAGGGCTCAACCTGACCAAAGACCAGGACGTCTAGTACTGGGCACATCTGATGGTGAGAGGATAGACCCAGGTCCCAGGCTCCGGGCCTTCCTTATGCTCCAGCCTGGGGTGCAGGAGAAGGCCCGCTGTACCCAGCCACAGCCTGCTATCACCTGGGTCCGCTCCCTTCCAGCTATAAACTGCCCCCTGCCTAGCCCCTTCCTCTTCTTTTGTTGGTTTGTTCCATTTCTTTTACTTTTTCTTTCTTTCTTTCCTTTTTTTTTTTTTTTTGTAGAGATGGAGTCTCACTCTGTTGCCCAGGCTGGAGTGCAGTGGCGCAATCTCGGCTCGCTGCAACCTCCACCTCCTGGGTTCACGCCATTCTACTGCCTCAGCCTCCCAAGTAGCTGGAACTATAGGTGTATAGGTGCTCGCCACCATGCCCAGCTTATTTCTTTTGTATTTTAGTAAAGATGGGATTTCACCGTATTGCCCAGGCACCATGTTACTCCTGAGCTCAGGCAATCCACCCGCCTCAGCCTCCCAGCTTTCCTTCTTTTTTTTTTTTTTTTTTTAAAAAGGGAGTCTCACTATGTCACCCAAGCTGGTATTGAACCTGGCCTCAAGCGATCCTCCCACCTCGGCCTCCCAAAGCACTGGGCTTACAGGCATGAGCCACCATGGCCAGCCTGGTTTGTTCCATTTCTTAAACCAAAAGAAAGCTGTCTGGTATTTTCCACCCTCCGGGCTCACAGGGGAAAGTTAACTGTCTGACCAAGATGGGCCTGGGGCATCAGCCAGCACTGAGGGTGGTGGAGCCCCTTCCCTGGAGGGGACACTGTACTTTAGGGTTCAGGAAGGAAAAGAATATTGACAGAACATCTACTCTGGGCCAGGCATGGAGCCAGCATTTTCACCATCACTGTTTCCTTCCATCCTTAAACATGAAGGTAGCTATTTCTTTTCCTGTGTCCACTGATGGAGAAATAGAGACTCAGATAAATGAACGCTTGTCCACCGCACGCCGCTGGGAAGTGGTAGAGTGAACATAGACAGTTCTGTAGATGATAGACCCCCCACCACTGGCCTGAAGGTCGGGGTGCCCAGGGCCTGCCCTGACAACAGCAGCCTGTGCAGCTTTAATTACATCCCACCCCTCTGGGCACAGTGTGGTCACACCGGAAGATGCATGGAGTTGGGCTGGCAAGCCTGGACTCCCCGCCAGCTGCTGCCTCAAGCCCTTGGCACGTAGTAGGTGCTCACTAGGTGAGCTGTTGAGTGGTGCTTTCTAGAACCCACTCCCTCGAATCGGTCAAATGCAAGGCTCATCGGCACAAGCTTTGGGCATCTGCAGGTTCTTCCCTGATATCTGTCCTCTCCTCCAGCCCCGGTTCTGGCTTCACGGAGGGAGGTGTGGGCTCAAGTGCCGCAGCTCTGAAGCTGTCTGTGGGACTGAGCACCTCCCGCCCAGTTGTGTGACCTTGGGCAGGTTTCTAACCTCTCGAGGCCTTGGTGTCCCCTCTCCAAAATGTAGATTGTAATCCTGTCTGGTCATGAGGTTGCAGTGAAGATTAGACGAGCATATGGTAGAGCCCCTAGAACAGCCTGGAACATAGCAGGTGCTGTCATCTTTGTGGATATTGTAACCAGATGCTGGCTCCTGCCTCCCGGCCCCACCCTATCCACAAAAAGGCAGGTATCTCCATGATGGATTAGAGCCCCTCCCCTTTCCTCCATCTGCCCCATTGTTCCATCAGTTCCCTTGTGTACACTTACATCCACCCTCTCCCGCACTGGCCAGAAGGGCAGAGGCCCCATTTCCATCCGGAGCAGCCAGCTGAGCAGTCTTGTGGAGTCCGGGGCAAAGTTCACTGTCTCTGTCGAGAGAACTGTGGTGGGGCAGGGAGGTCTGCGGGGCTGAGTCAGCTCAGAGGATGAGGGTGACTGCAGAGAAGGGGAAGCAGCTATTCTGCCCCTCACCCACCACCTGGGCAGCCATCCTGGAGTGAATGGGGAGGTAGAGGCAGACTGGCCCAGGGCCCAGGACGGAAGGTACAGGCAGCCAGTGGTCACGGGACCCTGCTGGATAGACTCTGTGATTGATGCCTTTGAGGGCTTCCCCCAGCCTTGGGGAGCAGGACCCCCTATGACTTATGTCAACCCACCTCCCTATTCTCCTTGTGACACTGATATTCCCTTTCGCTGAGCCACAGAAAGTGCCCCCTTGCCTCCTGCCTTGGAGGGACAACCCACGAGCAGAGCGGATGGAGTGGATGTGCATGCTGGGAGGGAAGTGATAGAAGGTGCTGGAGTGTGGGCTGGCAGCAGGGCAATAGCCCAGCGTGGTCTGGGGAGGAAGGAGGCAGGGCTCTGGTTGGCAGATGTCGGGGACTCACACTGAAGGCCAAGCCTTGGAGTCAGACTGACCCAGGTTCACGTCCCTCCCAGCCACGGGACCTTGGGCAGATTACCTGGCTGCACCTGCTCCATCTGCCTAGGGGCCTTAGGATACTAAACGACCAGGTCACATGGGCGAGCAGGTGACCACTGACGACTTTGTCTCCCTGTTTCTGCAGATGACGTGTCCCCGTATTTCAAGACGGAGCCTGTACGGACACAGGTGCACCTGGAAGGAAACCGCCTGGTGCTTACATGCATGGCCGAGGGCAGCTGGCCGCTGGAGTTCAAGTGGCTGCACAACAACAGGGAGCTGACCAAGTTCTCCCTGGAATACAGGTAAACTGCGCCTCCCCGCCCTTCCTCCTGGCTGCCAGGGCCACTGCCCTGCCTTGAAGAGGGCGTGGTGGGGAGGGGGTGTGTGTGACAGTGTGGGGCCCGGGGCTCCTGGGAGCCTGGAGTTCTGGAAGTGAGTGGCAAAGGCAGCCCTGCTCCGAGGTGAGATGGCTCCACCCTTCTGATCCCTGCAGAGGATGGCTGGGTTGCGGACCAAGGGCGCTGCCGGACAGGATGGTCTGAACCACGGTGCATAGGAGCAGAGGTGGCATTGGGCACAGGGACTCACTAACAGCAGCTGTGGCTGTGGCTGTGACTGCGGCCCCCTCCTCACTCTCTCGAACCCTGCCATGTCCAGGGGACTCTTGTTGAGGGGCCTGGGTCCAATGGAGGGGTGGAGTCTGCAGCAACCTGGGATCAGTGAAGGAGGGGACATCTTCTATCTGTGGGCAATTCCGGTGGGACACAGAGATGGCCCTCCCAGGGCCTCTTGGGCTTATCTTCACTTCCTGTCTGTGCCCATGCAATGGAGCTCTTGGGCCTGACTGGCCTTTCCCTGCTGGGACACTGCCAGGAGGGGAGAAAGAAGAGCCGGGACAGAGAACAGGGTCTCAGTAAGAGTGGATTTGCTGCCAGCAGGGAAGCAGCCCCTCGCCCAGGCCACCCTGGCCTCCAGCCTTTCCTCACAGCCACAGACTGGGGCAGGCACTCCCTCCTTTCTGCTCTTATCCTCCCATCTCTGCCTGTTTTATTGGCTCCAACCCTGTGGCTGGTGATTAATCCCAGGGCCTGATGTGCATAATCAGTTGTGTTGGGGAAACAAGATTGTCTTGCCCTGGTGATGTTGATACAAATCTGCCACCGGGGACAGGAATGCAAATAAGGGGAGGGGTATAATTGCTCGATCTGTCCTTCTGGCGAACCATCCTTTCCTTTAGGGAGTGCGGAGGCCAGAGTTTGGAGTGACTCCTCACCCCAGTCTTTCTGCCTTCACCCTGGACTGCACAGGCTGGTGTAGTGTGGCCACATTGGCAAAAGAAAGTCCAGGACAGGGCACCCCCATCCCTCCTGCAGAGGGGAGAGCTGGATGGGCAAGCAAGAGGTCCTGCAGGGCTGGCCACTCTGGGCCTCCGGTTCTCCAGGAAGCCTACAAGGAGACCAGAAGGCTCTCCCTGAGCAGTCCCTGCTGTGGCTTTCAGTTGGGGGTCAGAGCCTCTCCTGGCCACCACCTAGCACCCCCAGGAAGTTGTGACCGTCTCTGTGAAGAGCCCCTGCATCTTCTTAGACGCTGGACACACGCGAGTGGGTTACCAAGAGCATGGGATGGCATACCATGTGTGCAAGTGGTGCTGGGCCTAGCCTGCCCCTGAATTCTTCTGGCAGGGAGCTGGAGGCAGGATCCAGGAGGAGGGGAGGAGGAGAGTTGGTTCCTTATCTGGTTCAGAGCCACTCTTCTGGGGCCCTGGCACTGCTAGGATGCAAGGGTGGGTGGTACACAGAAGCAGGTTCCAGCTCAGTGGAAGGACCAGATGGAATGGGCTGCCTTTGAAAACAGCTCTCATCCCTGCAGGCATTCAAGGAGTGGACAGGGTCCAGCTATCGGTGGTGATGACGATGATGAGGTCCTGCTATTGATGATGATGGTCATGATGATGATGATGACAACAATGATGATAGCAATCATAGACAATGAAAAAGAATGTATTATATGGCAGACATTATGATGTCCCTCTGGGATTATCTCATTTAATCCTGTCCACAATCCTATGACTAGTTTCAGTTATTTCCCCCATTTTGCAGATAAACACACTGAGGCTCAGAGAAGTTAAAGAAATCACCTAAAGTCAGATGGTTGAGCTGGTCTTCAAATATAAATTGTCTGACAGCAGAGTGGGAATTTTTTACCATCCACCACACTGCCTCTCATTGAAGAAGGATTGCTGCAATTGCTTCCTTAATGTGTATCCTAAGCAATCTTTCTGCTAACTGTGCTCTGCAAATTCTAGAAAACAAAGCAATAGGGAGAATGCAGATACTCCATTGTATAGCTATGTTGGGTGGAAGTTATTCAGGGGAAATAGATGAGCGTGCACTTAGGAAACTCATTCCTTTGCCTCCTCACCCACAAGAGTGTTGGCTCTGGTGGCCTGGGGGCAATGCTGTGCCTGAATGCAGGTCTGATCAGGATTTTCCTTCAATTAAACACTAGCTGTGCCCCGGAGGCAAGGTCTGCACTCCTTAGAAGGGCCTTAGAACTCTTCCTGATCTGCTCCTGATGGCATGGTCTCACCTCCTGCCACTCCCACCAGATCAGGCCACCACAGGTCTCAGGACGGTTCCCTACAAAGGTCTCAGGATGGTTCCCTACAAAATCCCTCTTCTTGGACTTTGTCCAAACTATCCTCTCCCCTCCACGGGATTATTTCCCCTTTTTGGAAACTTCTTTTTCCTGCAAGGCCCAGCTCAAATTCCTTCTCTTTTAGAAAACCTGTCCTGATAATGCATGTGTTCTTAATCTCTCTCTCTCTCTCTCTCTCTTTCTCTCTCTCTCCCCCTTTGTCCCCCCCACCCTCTCTCTCTCTTTCTCACACACACACACACATACAGAGCTCCATCTCCTCTGTCCTTTGTGACTGTCCACAAAGTATGGCCTTATGTATCCCCTAACACCTTTTTTGCCTTCTCATTATTTACGGAGGAGACCACAAGTGCACCACAGAACTGAAGTCAGAGCTTCCCAAACCTTGGCAGTTCCTGGAACCTCAGGACTTAAAACCAAGAGTTTGATACGGCCAGGCCCTCTTCCCTCCAAGTCACTCAGCTGTGCCCACCTCTGGGTTCATACTTCATTAAGTCATGAGTGACACTGAGAAGTTCAGGGCTCACAGGCTATAGCTGCCTGATTTCTGAGTAGAAAGAACTTCTCTGGAAGTTTCACTTAGAAAGTCCCAGGGAAGGATTCTGATTGGCCCAGCTCAGACCATCCCTGACCAGTCGTGGTGGGCAACAGCATGGAGCACACTGCTTGGCCAGGCTGGCATCATATGTCTACTCCAGAGCTTGAGACACCAGGATTGGCAGCCCCCACACTACAGCCATGTGATAGGGAAGAAGGGTGAAAGTTGTTAACACAAGAATGGAAAAGGGTGGTGGATAGATAGAAGACACCTGTGTCCCTGGCTCATAGCAGGTGCTTTTTTCTTCTTTCTTTTAATCTTGATTTTTTTCCAAATCTTACTAAAATCGTTAGTACTGTAAACACCTTCATACGGGTGCCATCACGATTGCTAACATTTCGCTCATGTGCGCTCTCTTACTGTCTCCCTACACACATATACACATGTACCTTTTCTGCTGAACTATTTAAGGATTTGCTGTAGACATCCCGTCACTTCATTCGTAAGTAATATTTCCTAAGAGCAAGGCATTTGCCTGAAGAACCACACATGACACAATTTTCACAGTTGGGAAATTTAACACTGATACAATACCGCTATCTAAAACGCAGCCTATATTCAAGTTTCTCCATTTGTTCCGCTAGACGTACCTTTATCCCAGTGTCCTTCATGGCCATGGTTGTGGTTCTTGTTCAGTGCTGGACCTAATCGGAGACCACATGTGGCCTTTAGTTGCCATGAGTCTTGATACACCTTAAATCTAGAACTATTCCTTATTGTTTCTTTCTTACCTTACATGGCTTTGGCACTTCTGAGAGTCCAGCCAGCTTTGCAGAATTTCTCTCAATGTGGGTTTGTCCAGTTATATCCTCATGATTCAACTCTTGTTAAGTCTTTTGGGAACCATATTTGTAGGTATGTGTCCTTGATGCTCCACAGGAGAAGGCGCCTGATAACAATTTGCCCCATTATTGGTGACGTTAGGTTTGGTGAACTGGTCAAGGTGATGTCCACCAGATTTCTCCATTGTCAAAAGGTTGACATATCTTCTTCACTTTGTTGTTGATGAGTGGCCTATAGAGTGATAACTTGGGACTATGTGAATAATCTCCTTCCCAGGATTCTCCCACCCAGTGGTTTAGTATCCTCTGATGAGTCTTACCTGAATCAGTTATTACTATGGTGGTTGTGATAAGGAGATAGTCTTGTATTCCTTTTACTTATATTAGGTGGCATTCATTTGTAAACAGCTTTCTTTTCTGACCCCCTTTAAAGTAATTTAGCATCAGTATAAACTCATGCATTATGTTTTTTTATTCAATGTGCTTTAATCCACCCATGTCATTGTTCATTTCCATACTCAACCTAAATTTGGCCGATGGAGCTCCTTCAAGCTGGAGCATGGGTTCTTTGAACATATCCCCATTAGAATCTGAACATTTCCTTGTTCTGGGCTCAACAAAATGTTCCAGGTTCACCTTTTAAATAAATGCATACTGAAAACTGCATTCCATAGGAGCCTGTCCAGCTTCATAGCGCATGACTCTCCAACCACTGCTGGATACTGAGGACTTCCCCATATTTTACAAACCCCAGGCTCTGAGTAAGATGATAATATCCAATTTTCAGGCAGGAAAATGGCTAAATTTACTCAGCAAGTTGAGAGAAAATAAGATTAGAAGTGCTGCCATAAATTTAACTATGTTTCCAAAGGGAGGAAAGTTTACATTCATGTTCAATCTCTGAAAGTCTTTATTCTTGGTGGGTTCTGTAGCCAAATGAGTCTGGGTTTGTGTGTGTGTGTGTGTGTGTGTGTGTGTGTATCATGTGCCTTACATGAAGTACTGGTCACCTTCTGAGTACGTGTGACTGTGGCACAAATATGTGGTCACATCCATCATTGGGGTCAGAGTGAAAGAACATAGATGTTGAAGTCAGGCCTGCATGAATATGACCCTGTCCCTGCTAGTTTCTGTCACCTGAGGCAGAAGTGGTTAGCCACCCTGATTTTGTTTTCTCTCCCTTGGAATCAGGCACAGTAATGCCTACGTCAGAGAATTATTGTAAGGAATACCTGGGATTCTAATAGGTCAAGCCACCCTGGTG